ATACTGTAGAATATTGCAAGTTTAAGTTTTGTTATATGCTTATGGTGATAAAGTTTTCTTTGATTAATAATAAGTTTTATAGAAAACGGTACTAATTTTATTTCATTTTTTGCTGCTGGCATTTTTGATTTGAAATATCTTTGTATGTGGACTATGTTATGTGAAACACGTGTATATAGGCTGATGTACAACTGAATGAATGGATAATTGTTATTATGAGTCGGATGTCCTGTTTATCTAGTGAAGGAAGTCGAAATATGTGATATGGCCTAGACGTTGCCGCGTTTTCCCGCCAAATTTACCTTAGCAACAAGTAGCCCCGCCCCTTGCAGCATCTGTAATTAATGGAAGAGTATGGTTATACCGGAAGGTTGAGTTTGAGACAATCACAGATATGAAGATATACATTGACAATAAGAATGAAATTAAATATGCATTGACTAATTCTGGATAATAGCTCATTTGCACAAGTGTTTCCATCCTTGAAGTTGATTGGCTCACGCACGAGCAGCGCTTTGTTCTGATTGGTCCACGTGTACTCTGCATTATGATTGGCTGCGAAAGCCTGTGTTGGGCGCCATTACCACTTGGAGGAGGGTTTTTGGTTGACGGACACGCTCATAGAAATTGCCTTTGTGCAGTGACATTCTTATTAACGCCAGTATTTCTGGGAAGAGCTGGCAGTTAAAGTGTTAAAGAACTGTTTGAGTCATAGTGATAACCCCAAAGACTTCAGTGTAGTCTGGGAAAGAGCACTGGAGTTGGGCTTGTCACCTTGCAGAGTGATTTCTACCTTCACATGGTCTTCGCATTGGTTGAATTGTATACTGTATTTGCATTATATGAATAGTGATGTGCTATTATTTCCATGTAGATCCTATATGTGTCAAGTGCTAATACCTGATATGATGTTTCATATAAGTAAAATTGTCTCATAGATGCAAGGGTGCAGGCTGGCTACCTGTCATGAGATGGTGTACCTGTCGTGACGTGACGTGCCTGTGGTGATGAGGTGGTAATGTGAAGCGTCAGTGCTACCTGCTTGGGATACGATGTAAATATTTTTATGTTTATGTGTGATGAATTTGCTACTTGTCTGTCATTTTTAAGTGCTTATACATTCATTTATATATACGGTAGATATGCAAGTTTAGACTAATAAATATTCCTTTTGTGTGTGTGTGTGTGTAATGAATGTTCATTGAGTCGGGCTGTATATCTACAAATAGTTCCGATTAATTTCATATTATGTTAATAGGCTTCCAGTCTTTTGAAATAAGAAAAGTAACGCATTACACATCATGTATCAAGAAAGCCCAGACTTAAATAACTGTGGTACTTTGTTCAATGACCTGTATTTCAGTACATGGTTACCAATGTTTTATTTGTTTGCAGCTCGAATGTCTCCAGGAAAGGATTAAACCGTGTGCAAGAATCCAAGAGATTATTCTTGATGCCCTTATTGATGCAGGTGATGCTGACACGTTGCACTGGTGGCCCTACAGTGTGACGTATTTTGTAGTTGGAGATACTGTGGGCTACAATTCGAGATCTACCCTGTGACGAAGGGTACCTACAGAACACTTGCAAGAGATTCCTAGTCCCTAGTCATGTCTACTAATATGGAAAATATGTGACCAGAAGTGGCAAGATCTGACAGATCTCTGAAATCTCGTGGCTCAAAATGCTCTGTGCATACGCAAACTTCTGAATACCATCTTCGCATGCTGGAATTGCAGTTGCAGCAAGAAATGTTGAATATAGAAAGTAAGTATGAAAGAAGAGAACAAGAACGAGAGAGGAGTTGCTGAAAATTAAACAAGAAGTTTCACGTATCAGGTTTGTTAATCAAGCTAGGTCTGAACCTGCCAGAACCAGAGCCCACTCATCACAATCTGACCCTGGTACTGACTCGGAAATGAGCTGTGTTTTGGATGTGCAGTTAAAATCTCATTCAGCTCAAGAAATTTTTGTGATAAATGGGCAAGTGATGTTAATTCCCACATTGAAAATGGAACAATAGATCCACAACCCAGATCTGATTTCTGTGCTGCTACTAGTGGAATGGGGTGCCCTTCCAGTGATTTAAAGGGTTGTGAATCGGTTAGTGCTCCCGCTCAGGTGGACATGCAATCAGCATGTCAAGTTCTTGGTCCTATAACCTCAAGTATTGCTCTTCAACAGTCTGCTGTACCTGTGCTGGTTAATACTAACATGCCTGCAAGTCGCCTACCATCAGTTCCTGAATCTCGTGTGCTGTTCACTCAGAGCACTCCTGTGAATCCTTCAGTTCCTCCATTTACAACCTTTTCCAAGACCATGCCAACTGTTCAAACACCCAATCATTCTGGGCATGAAGTGACACATCCTCTCACCATGGGGCAAGCTACCCATATACTGCAAGCATTAGATTCTACGATGATGAGCCAGCAAGAGCTTAGCCGCAGAACACTGCTCCCTCCTATAAAGCTTGAGAGATTTAATGGGGATTTAACCAAGTTTGTCCAGTTCCGCAATACATTTACATGGAATGTAGAAAGCAACACTGAAGATCCCAAGAGAAGGTTGACTCATCTTTACAATCAGCTAGATGGCCCTCCAAGAAAGCTTATAGAAGGATGCCTACACCTGCCTCCAGCTGAGGGATATGAAATGGCATGGACGTTGTTGAATAAGGAATATGAAGACGCATAACCTTATTGAGGCCTACATCAGGAAACTACTGGAGTGGAAGGACATTGATGTGAGTGATGTAGAAGAGTTAGAGGAGTATGGTTCTTATCTCTTCAATGTGCAGTGTGCTCTCAGAGAAAATATTATGAGGATGGAGCTAAGGGAAGTGATGACTAAAGTGGTTAGCAAACTACCCAAGTACCTACGAAATAAATGGGCAGCTAGGTGTGTGACCCAGGAATCAGGATACTCCTTCCCCTCATTAGTAGCCTTTGTCAAGGAGCAAGCCAAGGTTGCAAAGGAAGGCAGGTATATCGAAGAGCGCGCGAAGTAAACAACTTTCTATTAGGAGAAAAGTTGCTGTAATCAATAAGCCTAAAGACTCACTGTAAGTACAAACATCCAGTCTGTGAATCTAACATTGGGACAGATGATTGTCTTTGTTGCAATAAACGAGGTCATGCTTTACATGCCTGTTTCAAGTTTGGCAGATTAAATGTACAAGATCGCTGGAATACGGCCATGTCCAAGAGGCTGTGTTTCCGTTGCCTTAAACCCTCTCATGGCCATAGAGACTGCAAGGATAAAAGTAAATGTGGTCAGTGTGGTGCAGATTCACATCACACAATTCTGCACAGACCTCTGTTCAAAACATCCTACACTTCAGCACAAAGGACGGTAAAATTAACACGAGGGAGAGAACTGAGCCGTAGCACCTATGGAGACAGCCAGAACCAAAATGAGGTAAGTGGGGGTGGTGTGAAGAACAAGGTTGAGGATGTACTGCCTTGTGCGTCACTTACCAACTATAATCCAGATGGCAGAATAATGATGAAAATCCTACCCGTTAAGGTCAACAATAAAATTTACACGTACGCCTTCATAGATTGTGGTGCTGCAGTTACATTAGCTGCCAGAAGTTTAATTAAGAAGCTTGGCATTAAAGGTAAACACATAAGCCAAACGATGCGCACCGAAAATGGAGACTTCAAGTGTGATGAACTGGTCTCTCTATCAATTGGAAGTGTGGATGAGGAAGAGGATCTGATGTTGGATGATGTTTATGTCACTGGGAAGCTCAGTGTGACTACAGACCACATGATGCCAGTCCAGTGGGTTAGTCAATGGTCACATTTAAGTGACATTAAACTTAGTAGATTGCCTCCTCAGTACAAAGATGTTGAGCTTATAATCGGCCTGAACAGCTTCCTGTGTCGTCACATTCTCAGTCAACGGCATGGCCAAGAAAATGAACCATCTGCTTACCTCACAAGGTTTGGTTGGGTAGCATTTGGACCAACAGGACTAAAGAATTCTATCCAAATTCGACATGTCCACCACATACAACCCACAGATAATTTGAGAGAATGCCTGCAAGAACACTTTAATAAGGATTTTTGGGAGAAGGAGATTCATTCCCGCCATGAAGATTCTGTTGAAGATAAATTGTTTACAGTGAAGGTGTCAGAATCCATTCGTCAGGAATCTGGCAAGTTTATTCTCAATCTTCCCTTTAGAAATAAGTTTCGACTCCCAAACAATCGCATGATAGGACTAAAGAAGAAACTGGAAAATGATTATGCCTATCGACAGTCCTATGTGTCCTCAGTTGAAAATTACATCAGCAAAGGATATGCTGAGCTTGTGCCAACCACTTTGTTGGACCGAGATGATGGCAGAGTATGGTATATGCCACACCATGCTGTGCACCATCCCATATAGCCCAAGCTTAGAGTTGTCTATGATCTTAAGGCTAAATTCCAAGGGATCTCGCTGAATGATCATCTACAAGGCCCAGACATAACAAATGCATTGATTGGTGTGATCCTAAGGTTTCGCCAAGGTCAATATGCTGTCACGGCAGACATAGAAGAAATGTTTCATCAGGTGAAAGTTCCCCCAGAAGTAAAATCACCACAATTAGTCTGTGAAACAGTCATCATAGCAATGTCATTCATTGAGGAAATTGCCAGTCGCTTCTCGAATTGGATGACATTTGTGCGCTGCATTGCCTGGCTAAGACGCTTTCACAGAACTCTGACACAAAGACTCAAGTCTTCAGTGGAAGCTGACATGACAAGAAAATGTCTGTGCATTGAAGAAGTATATGAAGCTGAGAACAACATTTGGAGGCTTGTACAAAAGGACTCATTTGGTGCTGAAATTAAGATACTCTCAGGCAGTGAAGAAGCTCATGTACGGTCCTCTAGCAAGTTGGTTAAGCTAAAGCCTTGCCTGAAGGATGGACTACTTAGAGTGAGAGGACGACTCATCCACTCTCTAGTAGTATTGATGTCAAACATCCAATAATTCTGCCAAGTAAATCCATGGCTGTGAAATTAATGGTGCAGTGGAAGCATAATAACTTAGCACACAGTGGCCACAATTATCTTATGGCTGAGTTACGCCAAAGGTTCTGGATTATACATGGCAATGCAGTGGTACGCTCTGTCATCCGGAATTGTGTGAGGTGCAGATCTCTCAGTGCTCGGCCAATGATCCAAGAGATGGCTGATCTACCCGAAGACCGCATCACATCAAATGTACCTCCTTCACACACACTGGGACCGACTGTTTTGGGCCCTTCCTAGTTAAGAAAGGCAGGTCAAATTTGAAACGTTATGGAGTCATATTCACCTGCTTGGTGACTAGAGCCATCCACATAGAAGTGGTGGAGTCAATGGAAACTGATTTCTATATTAATGCTTTTAGAAGGTTCATTGCCAGGCGAGGCCCGTCACCTCCATCCGGTCTGACAATGGGACAAATCTTGTGGGAGCTGAGAAGGAGCTTCGCAAAGAACTTGAGAAATTGAAGCACTCTGTGATTGCAGAGGTCATGTTGCTCAAGGGTGTCACATGGCAGTTCAATCCTCCTCATGCTTCGCACTTTGGCGGAGTATGGGAACGCCAGATTCGCACAATTCGACGAGTACTTCGTGGCCTGTGTCACCAGCAGGTCATGACAGATGACACTCTGCACACCCTATTCTGTGAGGTAGAAGCTATCATAAATGGCAGGCCATTAACCAGGGTTACTGATGATCCTGATGGTCCTCAACCACTAACACCCAACATGCTGCTAACCCTGAAAGGTGCAGGAGGTCCAATAACGGATACTGATCATAGTGATCTTTATGTTCGTCGACGTTGGAGGCAAGTTCAATACCTGGCAGACCTCTTCTGGAAGAGGTGGACAAAGGAATATCTTCCACTTCTCCAGGAACGTCAGAAGTGGACCACGAGACAGCGTAACCTGAAGGTTGGAGATATTGTTCTGAGCCTAGACAACAAACTGCCCCGAGGTTCATGGCCTTTGGGACGTGTGCTGGAAGTGATAAGTGATGCTGATGGTCACGTGAGGAGTGCTCGCTTGAAAACTGCTAGTGGAGAGTACCTCAGACCAATTAGCAAGATGTGTCTTTTGCTAGAAAATGAAATAGATGTAGGTGTCAGTAAAGGGTGTACGCCGAACGCTGCCCTTAAATGCTGAAGTTACAATATTCTTTGTAATATTTAGTGTACCACTAAATAGGGGGCGGTGTAGAATATTGCAAGTTTAAGTTTTGTTATATGCTTACGGTGATAAAGTTTTCTTTGATTAATAATAAGTTTTATAGAAAACGGTACTAATTTTATTTCATTTTTTGCTGCTGGCATTTTTTATTTGAAATATCTTTGTATGTGGACTATGTTATGTGAAACATACGTGTATATAGGCTGATGTACAACTGAATGAATGGATAATTGTTATTATGAGTCGGATGTCCTGTTTATCTAGTGAAGGAAGTCGAAAATGTGATATGGCCTAGACGTTGCCGCGTTTTCCCGCCAAATTTACCTTAGCAACAAGTAGCCCCGCCCCTTGCAGCATCTGCAATTAATGGAAGAGTATGGTTATACCGGAAGGTTGAGTTTGAGACAATCACAGATATGAAGATATACATTGACAATAAGAATGAAATTTAAATATGCATTGACTAATTCTGGATAATAGCTCATTTGCACAAGTGTTTCCATCCTTGAAGTTGATTGGCTCACGCACGAGCAGCGCTTTGTTCTGATTGGTCCACGTGTACTCTGCATTATGATTGGCTGCGAAAGCCTGTGTTGGGCGCCATTACCACTTGGAGGAGGGTTTTTGGTTGACGGACACGCTCATAGAAATTGCCTTTGTGCAGTGACATTCTTATTAACGCCAGTATTTCTGGGAAGAGCTGGCAGTTAAAGTGTTAAAGAACTGTTTGAGTCATAGTGATAACCCCAAAGACTTCAGTGTAGTCTGGGAAAGAGCACTGGAGTTGGGCTTGTCACCTTGCAGAGTGATTTCTACCTTCACATGGTCTTCGCATTGGTTGGTATTAATTGTATACTGTATTTGCATTATATGAATAGTGATGTGCTATTATTTCCATGTAGATCCTATATGTGTCAAGTGCTAATACCTGATATGATGTTTCATATAAGTAAAATTGTCTCATAGATGCAAGGGTGCAGGCTGGCTACCTGTCATGAGATGGTGTACCTGTCGTGACGTGACGTGCCTGTGGTGATGAGGTGGTAATGTGAAGCGTCAGTGCTACCTGCTCTGGGATACGATGTAAATATTTTTATGTTTATGTGTGATGAATTTGCTACTTGTCTGTCATTTTTAAGTGCTTATACATTCATTTATATATACGGTAGATATGCAAGTTTAGACTAATAAATATTCCTTTTGTGTGTGTGTGTGTGTAATGAATGTTCATTGAGTCGGGCTGTATATCTACAAATAGTTCCGATTAATTTCGTATATTTATGTTAATAGGCTTCCAGTCTTTTGAAATAAGAAAAGTAACGCATTACACATCATGTATCAAGAAAGCCCAGACTTAAATAACTGTGGTACTTTGTTCAATGACCTGTATTTCAGTACATGGTTACCAATGTTTTATTTGTTTGCAGCTCGAATGTCTCAGGAAAGGATTAAACCGTGTGCAAGAATCCAAGAGATTATTCTTGATGCCCTTATTGATGCAGGTGATGCTGACACGTTGCACTGGTGGCCCTACAGTGTGACGTATTTTGTAGTTAGAGATACTGTGGGCTACATATACATATATATGATATATATACATTATATATATATATATATATATATATATATATATATATATATACACATATATATACACGCGCACGCACGCGCGAGCACAAAAACACACGCAGATGTGGGCGCGCGCACTCACACACACACATACACAAGAGGAGGAAGGGAGAGGAGCAAACCGACGGACAGAGTGAGGATGAGAGAAATAACGAAAGAGAGCAGCGCAAATGGATAGGAGCCATTCCTGGCACAGTGGCAGATAGTAACTCTTTTCAAATGCAGTTAGTAATTTGTACACTAAACGAATGACAAAAACTGTAGAACCAGTTGCAGTTAAGTGGCCATTGCTACGGTTGGCAATGCTTTCTGGAGAGAGCATGTTGGAGAAATATAGAACAATACTTCAGGCAGATCTAACAAATGAAGCAGAAACTTGGAGTATCCACAAAAGAATATCAAGTTCGGGAACAATCTGAAAGGCTTCTGCGGCCTTGGTAATGACGGCCGCCCTCATATTTGCAAGCGAAGTTGGCGTAGAGTGTGCTGTTTCATGTGTGTGTGATGATAATGATAACAACAACATTGATTATGATATTAAAAATAATAAGAGGATGAGAATGATAATGATGACGATTATGAGGATAATAATAATGACAACAATAGGAATAATAATGATGTTTATGATAATGATGATAATGGTAATAGATAACAACAATGATAATCATAATGATAATAATTATTATAATAATTGCAACAATAGTAATGATGGCAATAGTAATCATACTAATAACCATAGTAATACTGATGATGATAGTAATAGTGAAAATAATAATGTTAATGATGATAATGATAATCATGATTATGAAAATGACTATCATTACTATCACTATAATCATTATCATATAGATTATTATAATAATCATTATTATTATTATTACTAACATTATAATTGTTCAAATAACGTTGATGATAATAATAATAAAATGATAAGAACAATATTTATCATTTTTTTCTTTATTATTACTATCACTATTATTGTTTTTATAATCACCACTATCATTATTATCATAATCGCATTAATAATGATGGTGATAATAATAAGGATTATGACAAAGATGATGCTAATGATAATGGCGATGCTGACGATGATTATGATATTACACTTATCATCTGGAATATGTGTGGTATTGCGTTACCATCGGTGTCAAAGATAGGCCGATTATCATTTTCATTGTTATTGCAACCAACATTGCTATAAAATTGCTGTGATAATAATAATAACAATAATTATTATAACGCATACGTCGATGGCGGTGTGTTATTGCTATGCCGAACGAAGGAAAAGATGTCGCTTTTAAGGCAAAGCAACAGAGCCGCGGAATCAGGAACAACGAGAAGGACGCTCACCTGATCCTGGGACGGGGTCGAGGGATCTTAGATGCTTAGGGGTCTTGTGCGGGATTGGCCGCGTATAAAGAAAATGTCTTCAGTGTTGTCTTGGAGGTAGAACTGTTCTAGTTATTCTTCTCGTTCGGTCTTATTTACGTTTTTTTTTTATTATTATTATTACTGAATTGGTGCTGAAGGCCGATCAGGAGGGACATCCACTCTGGATAACAATTCCCGCAAACCAAATAAAAACCGTTCGAATGAAGCTCCGTCGTCGACCTTGACAGGGATTTCGTGATGTAATCTCGGACAGTTCAGCGCTGGTCTTACGAGGAGAAGGCTTATGATTCGGCAAGGTGATTGTTTTCGGAAATATGGGTATTCTAGGTAGTTTACTTAAAGGGCAATTGTCAGGGTGCAACAGTACTCCGGTGAATTGAATAAGGGGAATTAATGACGGTATGTAATTAGTTTCAATGATCGTGCATTATGTCAAGTGCACTCATAGTGTAGTTAACAATTGAAATCTGATATTTTCGTTTCATGTTTTCAAGGAATATGTTTGTATGAAACTATATTACTATAAAAACAACAAAATTCATTAATGTTTTCGTGGTAGCCTATGATCTACCACGTAACCATAGAACGCTATGCTACCTTTGTGAATCATTTCCTTTCAAATCAGTCTCTTTGTCTATTTCGCAGTCTTGTTTGGAACATGTGTCAAGTGAGAACACGACGCAGGGTGAAATGCAAGCGCTTTAATCAAGCTGTTATGCAAGCAGCCATACCTGTCCCTAATTGTGAGACAGAGCGCCTGTTTCTGAAGCTTCGCTAATTCTGCTGCTATAAAGCGTGTGGTAATTGCTGTAATACGCTTCGACATCGTATTATGCTACAAATTCATGCATGATGCCTAGAGAGAGAGCGACGCAGACACGTTCATGTACAAGCACAAAGAGATACATTATCAATCACACACGCACACATGTTCAAATAAACCTACACACGCAGGGCAGCGTGCTCGTATATATATATATATATATATATATATATATATATATATATATATATATATATATATATATATATATATATATATATATATATATATATATATATATATGTATATATATGTAATATATATATATATATATATATATGTATGTAAATATATATATATATATATATATATATATATATATATATATATATATATATATATAATATATATATCTAGAGAGAGAGAGATAAATAGATGGATATACATATACATACACTTATATCCGTGTGTATGTTCTTTCTCTGCAGTCAGTATTAATTACTTATGTGTGTACATGTGCATGATAGTGTATGTGTGTGTGTGTGTGTGTGTGTGTGTGTGTGTGTGTGTGTGTGTGTGTGTGTGTGTGTGTGTGTGTGTGTGTGTGTGTGTGTGTGTGTGTGTGTTAATATATACATATATTATATATATATATATATATATATATATATATATATATATATATATATATATATATATATGCATTTATTTATTTAATTTTTGATATTTATATTCATATATACATACATATATATAGATAAATATGTTTATGTATCTAATATATATATATATATATATATATATATATATATATATATATATATATATATATATATATATATATATATATATATATATATATATATATATATATATATATATATATATATATATATATATATATTTATTATATTATATTTATGTATATATTATATATATAGAAAATATATATATATATATATACATATATATATATATATATATATATATATATATATATATATATATATATACATATATAATATATATATATATATATATATATATATATATATATATATATATATACATATATATATTTACTTATTTATTTATTGATATTTATATTCACATATACATACATATATATAGATAATATATATTTATGTATCTATTATATATATATATTATATTATATAATATATATATAATA